GAGTGTAGTTCATTGCTATTTCTCCGTTCTAAAACATATTTATCGATCACAGTCTGTTACGTATGATGTACGTACGAACATATCGAAACTGAAGTTGCATAACATTTCACTTCAGTAACCAGATCTGCTGGAAAAATCAAATTTCATGAAGATGTTCACTGATCATTTCAGGATCTAGGTGCGCAAATTCATCTTTCACATATGCCTATCTGTCATACACGATTACATCAAATTTTAATGTGCAAAACCACCAAACACACACGTCAAATAAGCACAAGACTCATCATGTACACTTCAGAAAGACGGAACTGAGGCGTATTTGTGCCTATTTCGCACGTACGGATAGTTGGAAGCTGAAACAGTGCTGTTCTTAGTACAATTCCAACTCCACAGCGGCACCGCCCAAAACTATAACTCAGCTTTTTTCTTTTTGAGGGTCATTGGCTGAACTCAGCTACTCTTCCTATTAAAAAAATATATAGCAGTCAGATTTCTCTGAATGCTTAACTTGGGTAGCCCAATACCAGTAGCTGCAAAGCCATATTTCAGTAAAGCCTGGACAAAACGCTGCTGTTATAGCAGCACCCATGCTGGAACATAATAAATTAACCGTATTTGGCGCGCATCACTGATTCATCGTAGTTGGAAGGTAACGAGCCAAATTTACGTTCTGGAGGAAGTGGTTTAGACGGTGTGGAAGAGGAGCATGCAAAAGCGAAGGGCAGTTTCAGCGGATTTGGGGCAAGAAGTGCCAAAGCAAGCCGAAGATGTGGTAATTTCTATTAAGTATAAATGCAGTCAACGAAGATCTAATGTACATCTGTTGCGGTCGATTAAAATTTAGCCGCTCTGTTACAGTAGTTCGATATGTAGACTATTAAAACTGGTGAAGGCAAAGAATGAGAATGAAGCTCGAAAGAATCTGACGTGGAATGTATTCCGTTCACACTGTCCGTTTAAGTTTTTCATTTTCTTTTTTCATGAGACTTGCTCAAATTCTAGTACATTTCCACTCGTTTAATTATTTTAACTCCAATGTAAAAATAATGAGCAAAGCGGCCCTACTGAAACATTTGTGAAGGTGCTCCTAGAAGCCATTAGAGGAAAGATCAAGCAAAAGACCATTATTCCATTTTGGTGTTTTCACCCGCTAGAATTTGTTTTTTTTTCGTATTGTTGGTCTAAATCAGACCAGAATTTTCTCTTTTCGGTGCATTCCAGATAGTCTCATGCTTTTAACCTTTTTCCGTTCAAATTTTAACCTCGACCTAACAGTTTTAGAATATACTAGCTGGTAGCCTGAGGCATCAAATTTTATGAGATTTCAGCGGTCACATCGGTTGGGAAACTTTGACTCTTCCGCTAGCACAAAAATACTTCGATGGGAATTTGGCCTTCCTAATTTTTGAATGCTTTTTAAGAAACTCATAAAATTACAAACATTCTGCAGCGCACTGTAGATCGCCGTGACTTTGTACTGAATCGTCAGAATCTTACTATCAGTATACTAACAAGGTAAAAGTTGTGGGCTCCGGACTGCATTAACGACGAAACAGCCAAACTTAGGCATCACCTTAAATTTGCTCCTGATCACTACTGTCATTACTTTAGCTACTATATAAAAATTCTTAAGCACAACGGACATTTATTACTATTGCATAAATCTTGTAGAATTTATATCATACATAACAATGTTTAATACTGATTTCTTTGCATCATCATGATCACTGTAATATTTCTATTACTTTTATTATGATATTTTTAACAGTACCAATATCAGTATCATGATTGTCTGCCTCCTTTATAATTTTATTCTATCTTATTAAGCAAGCTTGAAATTCCCAATATCTTTGAGTGAGCGTGCAAGAAGACCGGCTTGAAAATGAATACGTTTTATCAAGTACAAAGGACTTGAATGGAACAGCGTACATTGATAAATCGAAGTGCAAGCAAGCCGCTCTGCTGGATAGAGTCGCTTCGCTCACGACTTCTGTAGTGACACTGCGACACGTCGACGTGGGCATGGGCAATAAGTAGCATCTTCGCCTGGGCCGCCGGGTGTGCCACGCGGTCCTGGAGCACCATTTTGTCCGTCTGATCCTGGTTGTCCAGGAGGTCCTTGCGGCCCTTGTGATCCCTGTTGTCCTTGGTTTCCAGCGAGCCCTGGTTGTCCAGGTGGTCCAGGTGGTCCGGGAGGTCCTGGTGGTCCTCGTGGTCCGGGTTCTCCTTTGCCACCCTGTGGTCCTGGTGCTCCAGGTGCACCTGGTGCACCAGGATGACCTGGTGCTGCTGCTTCTCCTGGCGGTCCAGGAGGACCCGGTGGTCCGGTATTTCCATTTTGTCCACGGTTTCCGGCTGGTCCTGGTGGTCCGCTGCCGCCTGGCCGACCAGGTGGACCCAAAGGCCCTGGTGGTCCTGGTGGCCCATTGGGACATGCACGGCAGTGTCCTTCAAAGTTGTAGTTGATTGCTGGCATGTTTCCTGGCAGTCCTGGTGCACCGGCCGGTCCGGGAAGACCTGTAATTGTAAAAAATGATGGTAAAATTAATATTTGCAAAAATATGCTTGCATTTTTGCTGTGTGTTTGAATGTTTTGTTACGACACTCCGAACAACTTAAAACTAACTTGTTATCGTTGACAAATTAGACTCATAGTAAAAAGGGTACACGCACTGACCTGGTGTTCCATCTTGTCCAGGAAGCCCGGGAGGTCCAGGTGGTCCTGGTGGACACCGGTTGTTGATATTGCACTGGCACTGTCCGACTTGCCTTGCCACCCTCATTTTGGCGAAGCTTGCTGATGCAACCTTGTGCCGATATTCGCCCCTGCAAGCTTCAGATCAGCTCATACTGACCAGGTACAGAACTAAAATTTCGAAAAAGTGGGATGAAGTGTTTGTTGATTCTGCTTTGCTTACTTCTGTTTTTAGACGATTCCTGTTCAATTCCATTTCTGCATCATGTGAACCTGAGACACGGCAAATTACTGAATAATTTGTGAGGCTCAGCACACTAATCTTATTGTGCTTCCGCTTTTCTCTCATTTTACTCTTTTACTTCCATGCTAACTTTTTAAAATCCAGCTCCCTTACAGAAGGAGGTATTGGCCAGTCGTCCAGTCCCGCAGCAGCCAATCTCGTAGGCAAAATTAGACTGCCTTCGGTGAGGGTTGCTTCGAAAGCAAGCTAAATTCTCAACAGGCCAGACTTCGCTGACTATTAAATGAATCGTGTGCGGAGTCGACACCTGCGAAAGAGCTTCTGGGCATCAGGTCACAACATCAATCCCTCTCTTTTTTATTAAACTGTGTGGAACACATGCGCACTTTCCGCGTCCTCAAACTGCGAAGGTGATTTTCAATATACGGAAAAACAAAGATATTAATAGTGATAAATATAAAGTGATAAATATTAATAAATAATGGGAAGGACAAAAATGTTAAAAAGACATGAAAAGTGATAAATATATTAATAAATAATGGGAGGGACAAAAATGTTTCGGTCCATAAAGTCGGTTTTGTAGATTTCTATTCAGCATCACAAGTAGGCCTTTTGACTGATTTCAGCTGTAACACTTTGGAAACATCCTGACATTATCTGTAAAGAAAACTCCGACTACAGCAGCGAAAAATTTTTGTTGTGTTAGTTGAAACATTACTGGTGGAGCGCCTGTCATGCAGTGACACAACTTTTTTATGGTCATTATTCATGTTAATGCTGATGTAAGATGGACAGGATTTTTTGAAATGTCATCGGGAAGTTTTTGTTGGTACTCCGAACTAATCCTTTTCGATTACATGACAACAAATATATATATATATATATATATATATATACATATATGTATATATATATACTCGTAATTAATAATTCTAACAGAAATTTTGAAATATCACAAAAAAACCTCCTCACACCAAAGTGAAAGGTGCTTCCCTGAATGCATTACAAACATCTCAGCGTATTGGGATTTTCAACCAATTTTGCGTTAGTTTTAGGTAAAGGCTAGATAAGAGTTTGTCTGCAGTGATGATGGAATAACCAAAAAAACCTTAAACTCTCATAAAGTGCGTCGTAACAGTTAGTTTTAAGTCTTTAATTGCAAGGTTTCTTCCTAAGTATGCCAAAAATATAGTTTTTATGCGTTTTTGCACATATGCAAGTGCAAAAACGCTTATTGGCAAGAGGCTTTGTTTGTGTCTGTACGCTCGCACTTTCTGTCACCCGCTTTCAAATTGAAAACCAGAAAAGCTAGATTTTGAAGGTATGTTCCGCGTCCACGTACAAACTAAAGATTTCAAATTCAGTGCCCAGTTACGCATGGTACTCATGTACGGAAATATGGAAGTTCTGACGGGAAAACTACAAACTCGGGAACCAGCAAAACCGAGAGGCTGAAATCTTAAGGCAATGTTCCCTGTCCAAGTGCAACTTAAAGATTTCAAATTTAACCTCCAGGTATGCGTGGTCCTCACGTATGGACGCTTAAAAATTTTGGTGGAAAAATTGCTCACTAAACAGTTGGGCCATTTTCAAAGAAGGACCTTTTAACGAAAATCGTATTTCCTTTGTGCCAAGTTTACAACGATTTACGCTAGTAAGCGCACAAGGTAAGCGTAGAGCAACAACCATTCATGCAGTTAATGGCTTAATACTTCAAGTCTGGTGCAAAAACGCATGATAGCACCGGCAAGCCTGATTCATTCCATCATTATGCAAAGCTACCTAATGCAGATTTTGTTTACAAAAAATAGCTGCCAAGAAACTGAGTAAAAAAACTACCAAATATGGGTTTCAATGCCGCGGAATTCCTCCGCTTCCTCCTGAATCTCCGCATTGATGGCGCTAATCTTCGACCCCAAGCCACGCAACGAATAAATACAAATAGCGAAGCTTAACACCGAAACACCGATTGCCGAATAGGCAGCAGCGTAAGCAGTCATTGTGTGGCGCTGCTTGGAAGCTGTTCCCCGATGAAGTGGTAGTGATGCTGCTGCTACTGGTTACCAGACTGTGTTACCACTCACCCTCTTTTATAGACCCATGAAAACCGTGGGAGGTGGTTGGTTGCATGGTGGGGAGAGGGTAAGGTTCAGAGCATGCCTGGAGAAAGAACCCGGGACAGGTATGGATGTCATTTCTAGAAACATGAAAAGTGCAGGCGAACAAGTCACCGAGGCGGCAGGCAAGCAGCTAACGGACGCGTATCTGGAACGGAACAATTGTTGCCCGGAAGAGTCCTCTTACATTGGATTTCTCCCTCCCGTTTCTTTCTATCGCCTTATTATTCTTGTGAGTGCCTCATACTGGTATCATCAGTTTGAGAATTCCAGTACCCTTAGGTCCTAGTTTAAACCGTACTTTGATTAGCGCATCTTCAGGTGCGCAGCAGTCTAATCACTTTTTTTCTTTCATCCTCGTGCTTTTTATCTTTATTTTTCAGAATCTGATTTTTCATCTTACCAGTTTTCTCGCCAGTCTCATTATCACAGATAAGACTCGGTTGTTAGCAAAGGCACTGATGAAAAAACGAAGAAAAAAAAACAATTTTCACTAAACTTGTTTGCAACTGAATCTAGTAATGAGCGGTTTTTTAACATACGTGCATTAACAGGCTTTTTTTTCCGCAAAATTTCGTCCGTATTTAATCAGAATTTTTTGTTTCTGCTTGCAATTTTCATAGACTTTTTTTATAAAGTGAAATCACTGGTTGATGAGAGAAGTAGTCAAATTGCTTGTGTGGTGTAACTGCAAAACCGGTACCGAATCTCCTCCAACCGCTCCTTGCCTGTTCCCTTTCTTTGCACTGCTATTTGGAATGAATATCCTTACATTTATGTGCTCTTCT